GCGAAAGTTCTATAACTTCTAAACACCAATTCTATCCCCAGGTTAGCAAATAAAAATATTTGGCCCTCCAGGTTGGGAGTTGATCGCACGGCCAGCAACCTTGCATCGGAAAAAATTTTACCACTACGTAACCCTCTAGGGAGGCCAAGGTTCACACTGGACTTTACTGCCGAATAAGTCAATGTGTCATGTAGTCATAGTGAGTGTTTTCAGAATATCAAGGTTGGCCATTCATCCGTTAACCAAAAATGGATTTTAGATCATAGTGAAGTATCTGACAACTAAAACCTTAACGAACAAAGCCAAGGGGCAGAAGACTTCTCACACCAATTTAATGTAAAAACTGCATTAGACTGAATTGAACTGACGATACGTATAGAATTTTTTGAAATACTTGACCAAAGAGAGTAAGATGAGTATGGTCATTAGATAATACCTACGATATGTTTTGGTATTAGACAAACACTTAGCAACTAATTAGTTTTAATTATTTTCAACTGTAAAATGCTTTTTCTAACTTTCGATGAACTAAAAAAATGTAAATAAAAAAAATTACGAGTATTTTCTTATATCAAGTATATTCTTTTTTGAGACACTGATTGTACGTATATCATTAAGTAAAGTGATGCATTCAAAATCTAAATAAAGACCTTTCCCGCATATACTATGTAACTAGTATGAGTTGCAAAGCAGAAGATTGCAAGAAGGTAAGGAAAGAAAGAAAGAAAAGTCAGATCCGTAATGCCTATCAATTGTGTAAATATAGATAAAATTAAAGAAATTGTTCTTGCGGTGTCGACTTTTTCGAAGTACACCTTACTAGTGTCTTTGTCATTAAATAATTGGTAGCAAATTGGTAGCAAATTGGTGTTCTAATTTGGCAGAAATGTGACATTATCTGAATGACACAATCACTCTATTCTCAAGGCATGGAACTATTCTGCATATTTTTAATAGGGAAGTCTCTTAGTCAATGGAGTAAGTTTTTCCATAATACATTAAGACCGAAAAGTTTTCGGAAATTCTCATTTAAAATTCGCGCGCTGTATATTTTTCGATATTTTAAGTTTATGTAGTTTGGCAGCACTGTCCTTAATTACTATGCCAAAAATGAGCGCGATCTGTCAGACAGTTCGTTTTCGGCAGCTGTTGAAACCAGTTCACCTCAGTAGTGCGTTGCGAAAAAAACAATGGAAAAAAATATTGAACAAAGAGTTTGCATCAAATTTTGTGTTTCGAACGAATTTCGTGTGCAGAATCGTTGCGAATGCTACAAAAGGCTTATGGGGAATCAGTTTTATCGAAAACTCAAGTTTATGAGTGGTACAAAGCCTTTCAGGACGGTCGTAAGACCGTCGAAGACATTTCGCAACGCACTACTGAGGTGAACTGGTTTCAACAGCTGCCGTAAACGAACTGTCTGACAGATCGCGCTCATTTTTGGCATAGAAATTAAGGACAGTGCTGCCAAACTACATAAACTTAAAATATCGAAAAATATACAGCGCGCGAATTTTAAATGAGAATTTCCGAAAACTTTTCAGTCTTAATGTATGTGCAAATAAAGACGAAATTTTAAATTGAACTGAGGCCGTGTTTCTACAATTGGGATCTATTGTGGCATAGGCATGTAATATCGAAGGGCGAAAATAGAAAGAAAATAGAACAAAAATTAAAGATTAAGTATTAACATTTAAAAAAAATTTAGAAATTGTCTTTTGAGCACAGCTGATGATTAATTTCTTCTCTATTTCTATTGTTTTAAATTTATAGTGAAATAAAAGTGCAGACCTGGGCAATTAACACCATTTTGTAGTAAAGAGATTTCAGTTGCTTAAAATATTGTATTTCATATTGCAAAGCTTTTTTAAGCAAATTAATTAGAATTAATTAGAAATTCGTCATTGAATGGGGAAGTTCAAGAAAACTTTTTAAAAAAATTCATTGGCGTCAGGAATATTTTAGCTTTAAATAAAAGACTTAATAAACTTGATGTTTAAATTAAATAAACCTAAAATATGCAAAAAATTCCCTAATTTTGCATTTGTTAATGGTTAACATAAACTACAAAAATTAGCAGAAAAATATGGGGCCATATGCGAAAAGTATCAGTGGTAAATAGCGAATGAATAGCACACTTCAAAGACAATTAATTATGTACATAAATCAAAGATATTTGCATTGATAATACCTGCCGATATCTTTTAATGCATATATGTACCCGCTAATACTTTGTACGGGTACTAAACCCTTCTGAGGTTTGAGGTTCACATTTTTGTAGATTGATTCGAATTTAATTTAAAGTCGCGCAAAAGTCTGTCGGGCACTTAGCTCACCTGTGCTAATTTGTTAACCGTGGCTAATGCTAATATCTTCTGTAAAATAAGCTATAAATAATTTGTACAAACTTAAAAATAGTTCGATATAAAAATACTTTTCATAGATGCCTGTTCATATAATCATATTGAAAAAAAAAAAGAAAATCTTTTTTTTTGCAATATCATGTCGTGCCAGCGATGCGCCTATAACTTTTATCGCAACGTGAAAATCTGTGAAATTTTCAATAAAAAAAGAACTCACAAAAAAATAAAAAAAATTTGTTAATAATAGCAATTATTTGATGAAAAAATTAGTTGCATTTTAGAAATGTTTATTTATAAATCAGACTGACAGTGTAAATAAAATAAATAAATTATTTACCTACATGAATGTACATTTTCACACTATTTTGGAGCTATTCTCGACTCTAATAATAATTATTTTACACCTTTTTTGCTAAGTAAACATACAAATTGCACTCAGAAATTGTTTATATTTTTTTATTAAATAATAGAGTGCGACTTAGAAGACCCATAAATGTGATATTTAATAATTAAATTCTAATTTTATCACGTGAAAGACATTAGAAGCTGCAAACAGAAGGAGTCTTATTATAAGTGGACTTCTTTGAAAATACTAGAATTGAGTATTATATTCATTCCAAAAAACAATCTTTTTTTTTTTAAATATACAAGTAATATTCACGATCACGAGTAATGAGTTTGGTAAATGAGTAAGCATCAGCAACAGACAAAATGTATTCAAAATGGGTCATGTTGTTGTAACTTTGCACTATTAATGTGCTACTAGGTTAACAAGTTCCTTGCAATAGATTGTGCACACTGCTATTGTGATCCTTAAGTTGATGCCAAGGTTTTTAAAGACTCTGCGCCCAGCAGCTTTTAGTGTCTTCGATGCCAGAAGAATCACAATGGATGCTTTAAACAGCTTTAAGGAATCAATGTGCGAAATTTGTTACTCCCAGCAGCTTATAATGGCAACGATTCCCGAAGAATCACAATGGCGTTAATGCTTTAGGCAGCTTTAAAGAATCAATTTGCGAAATTTATTGCTTTATGCTGTATTTTACCTGAATATTTTTATACTCAATATTAATCATACACATACATGCTTTTATATAACTTATTTATAAAATATGTATTATTAATTCAATTATTATTTTGAAATTAATGTAATTAAAAAACTGAGACTTTGGCATCACTGCGCTGTTGCTTGAAAGTAGTACTACAACTGCTGGAGCCTGCTTCGATCCCAGTACAGTTGCAATCACTGACGACGAATATATGTATATATATTCTTCACAAATTCAAATGATATTTATTTAAAATTTTCCATTCTTTCGTTATACTTTTGGATGCTTTGTGACAGCGATAATGATTCCCCTACGAAATTATATTGATTCCTCTATAAAATTATATTGATTTTACCACATATATTGATTTTACATATTGATTTGTCATATTTTCTTTTACTTTAAAAAAGCACAACTGCAATGATGCTTTTAAGTATTTCTAGGTATCAATAAATCATCGATGGTTTACCTATGACATGCAATGCACAAAAATATATTTACTGGGTATCATAGTTGCATCGATGCTTACAAAGCATTATCGCTGATGCAGCGACTCTTTCGACTGCTGGACGCAGTACTGCAATAATGGCAGAATACTTGAAGTTATTGTTAAGATTTCAAATTTTTTTTATGTAAAGTCTTTATATATACGAGTATATGTAAGATTTAAAGCATTATTTGCAATGAAATAGCGCGACCTATGAAATCTACTAAGATAACCCAGACATATTAAAACATTTGATAAGTATAATAGTATATCATGGTTCAAATCTTCATATAAATCACATTTGGTTAATTTGAAACTGTGTAGAGGTATTGGAGCCGTGTTTTACCAATTTCAGGGCGCGAACAGATAAAGTGATAATTGGTCAATGCTTATAAAAACAGGCGGGCAACTAAGTCGTCTATAGTAAAATTGATCCTGACTAACTTAGATTCATTTAATGTGATTTGACAGCGTGAATTGATCAAGGTAGGTGGATTTATTGGACTACTATTAATGTATAACCTTACTGTATCAATCGCAAATAAGTTTATTTAACTGATAAATTGCAAGATAAAAAGAATTAAGTATTTTTAACATAACATTATAATAATGTTAGGTATTTCTAGAGGACTCAGATCGGAAAACCTCTAATGAACCAGGTGATTTCTTTAATTTCTATATTTGCGATAGTAAACACCTACAAAAGGTACCCCGTAAAATGCATAAATACCTTGTGGCCAGTGTTAAGCGGTAGCAAAGCACTTTCTTTTTCTAGCCATAGATTTGACTAGAGTTTTAAGCAGAAGTCAAATGACAATGCCTGCATATAAGACTGTGTAGTTTCGGTACAGTGACTGTATGGTATACTACATAGAGAGCAATATCGGACGGTTATTCAGTTTTTTCTGATTGTAGATCGGAATTTTTGCTTTACTAGATGAGTAAAATAGTGATTGAATATAGTTCTGTGCTACTTCTGGTTAGTTTGTTGATTCTACAGTTGCTAGGGATGTGTCTATGAGTCAATACCTTCACATTTTAAAAGAAAGTAAAGTCTTCAAATAATTTAATAGAATATAATAAGAAAATATATTTGTGTTGTAAATTCTTTAATTTATTGTTTTTGTAACTTCAAGTTTAATAATCCAACTTCCTTTAAACATGCTACGGAAATACACAAAATTTTTTTTATTCCAAAAATGTAGGGTAAATAGTAATGAAATTAAGTTTCGATTTGAATTAACTCTCAACTCGAAACTTAATATCATATAATTCCACTGTAGATGTTCTTATTTTTCATAGAGTTATGATTTCGACTTTCGCTTCTTCATTCTCTTTTTTCTATCAACGTAATACAAACGTCTGGTGTTTGATCATACTCAGAAAGAGGCCTTGCCATTACTCGCATATCGTCCATTCTCCAAGCTCTGGCAATAGGGATTTTGAGATACGCAAAAATTGCAGGCAACTTTTCGATCCTCATAAAAACAAAAAAAAGTTTTAGGCACTTCTAGCATCATATGCTTTATACTATTTATATTTATGCTATTTATATTCCAGATGGAGAATTTTTGATCATTATATATAAGGCAATTACTAGTGAAATTAAGTTCTGACTTAAATTTTGTATACTTAATTCTTAACTAATTTGCACATAATTCCTTTTAAGATGTTTCTATACGAGTATACACTTGATATCTGAATTAAAAAATCAACTTCTCCCTTAAGCGCATTACTTTTTCTCACCAAGGTAATCTAAACGCCTAAAGTTTGGTACGTACCGGTTGAGCTGTTCGATAACGCCAATGGATTTTGTATTTACTCGTATATAGTCACTCTTCCAAACACGAGCAGCTGAATTCTTTATTCGTGATTGCCTCATGTAATTACGTGATTCCTGAGGGATACCAGTAGGGAAATTCTCCATGCTTCCTGAAGTTAATAAGAACTTGGGTACAGTTTTCTTCAGTACAGGCTTAAGACTTTGAACCATATTACATTTAGCAGTTAATTGAGGAATTTCACTAAACATACAGTTCTTTCGACGTGTATATGCGACTATCGAAATTTTAGACAGCATTTCACTTAAGAATGGTGTACGTAGAATATTTTGCGAAAAGAAGCGACTGAACATCTTTAAGATTTTGTTGAATTGGAATAAAGTTACGAGATGAAAAGCCAAAATTTTGGGATTGAGTGAATTTTGAATAGAAACCAAAAAAATTTATATCAAAATTATTTTATTTTTATATTAAAATTTCATAATAATTACTTAGCTACTTTGTTTATTAATGAATCGTTTTATGTAAAAAAACCTTTTAAAAACAGATATTCTATTCTAGACAGAAAATTGTCATAAAGAAAAGTTATAAGGTTATTAAGTAAAGAGAGAAAAAACTGAGGTGTCAATAATTGCATTGACTGTTGCTCTAAGTTTAGCTACAGCACCAAAGTCTAACTGTATAATGTAGCTATTCAAACCAATCTGTTCCAATATGATAGAAAATAGAATTATGAAGCTTTATTTCTGTATCACATAGTTATGAAATTTAAATTCTATTAAACAAAATTTTACAATAAATTGATGGAGAGTCTTGGTATTTTTTTAAAATTAAAAATTGAAGTCCTCGCTCCATGTTTTTCTTAAACCTTGTAAAAAAAAAAGTGAAGAGTTGTTGAATTCTTCAAATTGTTTAGGGACTTAGATACTTTAGTATTCGAAAATGTTTGGATTTCGATTAGAATATTACGCATTTCAATATTTGAAGATATGAAAATTTAAAAAAAAAATCGAATATAACGGATTCCAATATATGTAGATTTGAATATTTGAATAAAAAATCTATTCAAATATCAAAAAGTTTTCAACTTCAGTTTGAATACTACTTAAGGCAGCAATCTAACATTCTTACATTCCATCAGTATATTGGTAGTCGCCTTTTGGGTGGCATTACGTTAGAATAAGAAGGCGCGGTTATCAGCACTTTCACTCGAAGGCATATATTGTCCATTGTGATGCCCTCAAAGATTTTGCCGGGAGAGGCGAGCTGCTAACCATTGTTATCTTTGTGTACTATTCTTGTCAAACCATTTGGTTTCCGAGATCAAGTTTAGAAGATCCGATAAGTTTCCTTTCGTTATCTCCGCCAGGCCAGTGAAAGAGTGATCCCTAAAACATTGAAGTCGCCCATTCTGCACAGAGACACAGAGACAGAGACTAGACACAGACACAGGGAGTGGTTGATGGATTCTACCTCACCTTCATCTTGACAACTCGTGCATAATCATAGGCGCAATGACACAGCGCCCCATAGAATACTAAATTCCAATAAGTATACAAACTCCAGGTTTGCCGAAGCCCAACAGGCTTTTCGTATATTGTATTATCCACAATATATAATGTTTATCCACAACACTAAAATTTCATATAATAAATTCAGAATTACTCAGAATAATGCTCAAAAAATTTGCAAACATAAAACATTATAAATTCTATATTTAAAAAATACATTACCTCAAAAATAGAGAGTTACTATATGCTTAAATAATTAGACCAGCACTACGGTACGGATGTGTTACATACAGCAAAGCCTCAAATACTGCCATAAAGCAATTATAGATAGCACAAAACCTGGCTGTAAGAAGATTATTTAAGATTCCATGGTATATTAGAACAACAGCCATACACAGAGATCTAAGAATCGACTCAGTCAAAAAATATATCAGAGACAGAGCCCGAAAATGATTCACAAATGTTGATACGCTGCCCAATTTCGGCCTAACAAACCTCAAGTCCACCTTAGGACCCACAGGAAGATACGCTGACCTACGGTTCGTCATCAATTAAAAGACAAATAAATGATATGAATTCCTGTATAGTTAAAGCCTAGAGTGGGGCAGGGATAAGCCCCCAGCCACAAAAGAGTAAAAGTGTGCAATAGCACTAACTAAAGAAACTACAACAACAACAACAAATAAGAAAAAATAAAACAAAAACAATAATCAAAAAAAAAAACAATAAAAGTCAAATTTAGTATTACAGTTATTAATATCTTATCAAATTTAATGAGGCTGCCTGCCTATCGTTAATGGCTATGTTGTTGTTGTTTTTGTTAGTCTCTATGTGTGGTGTTTACTTTGTGTTTGCTTTCTGTTATTTTTGTGTAAAGTTTTTGTATTTTGTGTGTTTTATGTGTTTTGCGGTTATTTTCGCACATATTCTCAAACAAAGCCAAGCTAAGCCAACAAGTTACGTTGCGCGTACTTGTGCACTAAAAAGTTTTACACCACGGAAAACACTAACAACTATAAAAGGCAACAAATTTCAAATTACCTTTGGTGTTCACCTTTGGTGCTGCCGTAGTTGTAGTTGTAGTTGTTGTAGTTGTAGTTGTAGTTGTTGGTGTTTTCTACTATCATTGTTTTAACTGATTGTCTGAGTAATTTTTGCACACCTGTCGACGAAATTTACGTGTGCTTGCTTTGTTATCAATCCGTAATGGTTTTTGGCTGTTGTGCGCTGTGTGATTTTTGTGTGTAATTTATAAAAAAAAGTTTTTGTTTATTTTGTTTTTTGTTAATTTCGCAGTGCACTTGCACTGAGTATTTAATTTGAAGTTAGAAAAGCGATAAAAATACTTAAATAGAATATTTATTAATCATCAAAACATTTGCATTTTATATCGAACTAACATATTCATATCACATTATGCATAAATGGTATACTTCTATAATCTCAATAAATCAATATCAAGAATTGGAGAAGAGAGGCGATGGACAAAGAACTATGTATGAAACTGATTGAGCAAGTACTAGTTCAATTCGGATAATCATAACATAAAAGAAGAAGAAGAAGATATGTCACAGAAGATTATGCATGTTTATCCATTTATCCACCATCCTCTGCATAACCTCAAAAATAATGGAAGAGAAAAGAAGAATATATGCTACAAAATGTTATGCAAGGTCATCCATTCAGCCACATACTCTGTATAACCTCATAAATAAAATTGTTGTATTGGTTATATCCGGATTGTCATGTTACAATAGAAGAAAAATACATAATACAAAATGTTTTGCATACTCATCCATTTATCCACAATCCTCAATTCTTATCCATAGCCTCACAAATAAAAATGTTGTATTGGTTATATCCGGATTGTCACGACACAATAGAAGAACAACACATAGTACAAAATGTTTTACATACTTATCCATTTATCCACAATCCTCAATTCTTATCCATAACCTTACAAATAAAAGTCTTGCACTAATTCAATCCGAATTGTCAGGATACAAAAGAAGGTAATACATTTTTCAAAAAGTTATGATTGTCATCCATCAATCCTCTGTATAGGCTCACAAATAATAGTCAAATGTTTTACATACTTATCCATTTATCCACAATCCTCAATTCTTATCCATAACCTTACAAATAAAAGTCTTGCACTAATTCATTCCGAATTGTCAGGATACAAAAGAAGGTAATACATTTTTCAAAAAGTTATGATTATCATCCATCAATCCTCTGTATAGGCTCACAAATAATAGTCGAGTAGGGACATATTGCATAATTTTAGTGGGAAATAAACATAGCCAAAGCGTGAAATTACAGGTGAATTCTGGAGCACCAATACTAAAACCTTTATACAGTTTTGATCATTTAACAAGCATTGAATGAGCTTAAATTGAGAATACTGACTATAAGAAAAATAACGATTATCGTGTATCGAATTTATTCAGTAATGAGGTTCGTTTTTCTTTTGGTGAATATGAAAAAAAAATAAAATTGTCGGTTTTAGGGAAAAGAAAACGGTCATTGAGAATATAACTGTTCAACGATCATCCTGTTTATATTACAATAAAATGAAACATTTGGTTTGGAGATGTGATAGGTCTAAAGCTTTTTAACAATAGTGATGGTGTAATACAAAACCTTAATCGCAACAATCTAAATGCTCCAGACCCTTACTGCCAATTTCTTTTCTTTGATAGGACCACGACAATTGCCACAAATCACACCACGTGTCCTGTTGAAGTAATATTTTACGAAAAATTTCCTGTACATGTAATTTAATTAGCCACTAAGGCGTATCAATTTAAACTAGTCAAAGGATTGAGATTAGTTGTCAAAAAACGGATGTTAAATGTTATTTAAATAACAATTTTAAATAGATAATTGAAAGGAGATTTTTGTCAGAAGCTTATCTTAAAAGATGATTCCTAAGAACCAATCTATTTTCCACATTTATTTAGGTAAATGCTTAATCGATGTCTTAAAGCATAGATTTAAAAAAACCTAAAATTTAAATGTTATTACATTAAATTATTATTTTTTTCTGTGATATTTAGTAGATTACAGGGTACGCTAATACTTTCAGAAAAGTGCTATTAACATAAATCAAAAACATGTGATCCTCTCTTAAATTTAATTAAAGTGTATGGGCGTAGCCAGGGTACGTGACTGGAAGAGGGCGCAAGTGTTAATAAAAATCGAGTTTTGGTTCCATTCCACTGAAATAGTCTATACAAGACTGCTTAATGTAAACAATACTAATTTATCATTAATGATTTTAATTTACCAAACTTTTAGAAGCTTATCTGTAATTGTTGTCTGAAAATTCAGATATTTGAACGTACGTTAGTGGTCTACTTCATTTAGCTAGAAGACAATATTCTATGGATCGTTTTTTCATTATGAATATTTACGTTGGATTCAATTTTTGGGGGGTGAGTGAGCATAGGGAGCTGTCAAATGTGCCCCCGTTAGTTTTGAGACAGACATTTTATTTAATTACTTTAGTTGATTTTCGTGAACTATGAGATATTTTTAGTTCGTGCCATTTGAGCTCTTATGGAAAGCTTTTCTAATATCCAAAATTACTCATTTATAATTAGGTGACATGAGATAAGTAAACAACAGTATTGACGACATGAGCAATCAATTACTGATACCCCAACATCCCTAATAAGCAATTTAGATTGCCAAATTCATTCACACAAAAGAGAGTACTTGATTTCAAGGCTGTTATTAAGTCTAGATACGTGCTTTCCTTTGACCTATTCACTGAGAACACAAAAAAAAAAACACAAAAAAAGCACAAAAAATGATTGCATTTTATCTTCAGCACATGTTCTCAAATTTCAATGTGCAGAAATATAATTTTTTATATTGAAAAGATTACAAAATTATTACATGAGCAAATCGATTCGGAGCTCA